TTAAAATATATATATTTTCAGTTTTATGTATTTGATACAGGGTCTCCCCAGCTCTGGGATTACAGGCATGTGCCACCATGCCTGGACCCGGTCACTCCAGGGGCGGGGCCAGCATGGCATGCAGGACTGGAGATTGAACCCTGGTCCCTGCACTTGCCAAAGCAGGCATTCAGTCCACTGAGCTATCTCGCTGGCCCACTGAAGGATTTTATGCAGAGACAGAATGAAAACTACAATACCATGAAGCTCAACAGAATGAATCCACCAAACATGGGAAGCAACTAAACAGAGGGGGGAAGGGGAACCAATAACAAGAAAATAACATGACAAGGATAAAATCACTGGATATAAGTTACAACCATCAAAGTAAATGGTCTCAATTCACCAATCAAAAGAAATATATTGGCAGAATAGATCAAGATAAAAGATCAAACTCTGTGTTCATCACTGAGCAGATTGGACTTCGCTCCCTTATGCACCTCACTCCACTTCCTCGCAACCATGTCTGACAAACCCAATACGGCTGAGATTGAGAAGTATGATAAGTCAAAATTGAAGAAGCTAAGGGGGGGGGGATGTAAGTTCAGTAAAATAAGTGCCTGCCTGGCAAGTGTAGGGTCCTGAGTTCAATCCTCAGTACCACAAACAACAAAAGCCCCACAAAGTTGAGATTGAAGAAGACAGAAACACAAGAGAAAAATCCTCTGCCTTTGAAAGAAACAATTGAACAAGAGAAGCAAGTGGGTGCATCCTAATGAGGCGTGCGTCACCGATATGCACTATACATTCCACAAGCACTGCCTTCTTATTTTACTTATTTTAGCTGTTTTAACTTTGTAAGATGCAAAGAGGTTGGATCAAGTTTAAATTACTGTGCTGCCCCTTTCACATCCGAACTACTGACAACAAAGGCCTTGCCTGCCTCTCCCCATTGGCCTGTGTAGATTTAGTGTTTCTATTTTAATATTTATTTTTTTTGAATCAGACTATAAAAACTTCTTTAATCAAGGCTTTAACATTGAACAGATTTCTCAAGTAAAATGGAAACACAAATCCATAAATCACCATAAAGTACACGTAATACCCAGCAGGATAACACAAAACAGCAAGCTTACACAATCCCCTAAAAGCCATGGTCTGATTCTCAGATGCTTCTTCCACCTGTCCAGTGTGTTCTGCTGGAAACAGAGTACGCCGCGGCTCCTTGGGTCAGACTCAGCTGATCTGCAGCCCAGAGACTCACAAGGCAGAGCTGTGGTCCCACTCAAGAGGCAAGGCAGTCATCAGCACATTCAGTGTATTGAACATCCTTTAAATATCAAAGTGAGAAAAAAGAAAGCAACATAATCATATTATGAGAAAGATGTCAGGCAGGAAGGACAGCTGTGTATAGCTTGAGGTTAAAAGGCAGCTTGCCAGCTTCACTTGTTTGGCTTCTTGGGTAGCAGCCGTCAGAACAGCAAGATATGAGGTTCTGGTTCATGGATCATATAATGGACCCATCCCTGACTTGGCTGAATACCAAGATTCCTCCATTCAGATTCAGACATCAAGTGGGTTTTAGGAACCAGCTTGGCTATATCCTTGGGCAACATGACATGCCTGTATTCAAACTCTGTCATCATATTTGTCCGAGTAATAAATTTGTTTATGCAACATGTTTGCTTGACCTGCAGGTCTTTAGCCCCCACAATGCCAGCCTCCAAACAACTCCCAGCAACACACCTATTTTAATATTTAGATCTTTTATCCATTTCAATTTTAGTTTAGTGCATAGTAAGAAATATGTGTCTACTAATCTTTTACATGTGGAAAACAATTTTTTCCAGAATCATTTCTTAGAGAGGCTATCTTTATTCTAGTAACAGTGTTTGGCCTTTTTGTCAAAGGTAA